TAATGAGGAAATTTAGAATTATTTTTATCTCGCTGTCCACTGTATTACATTTTGATTAATTACTGAGAGCTGGTTATGAGTAATATCAATTCTTCTTTGAATAGTATACTATTATAACGTTCCTAACAGAATATTGAAGAGATCAGTTAGGGGACATGTGAAGTAATGTGACAAATACTTCTGTAATAATCAACAACCTCAACATTCAAAGATCACGACAATGGGATAATATTTGATAAATGTTTTGATGGGAAATTTGAAAACTGTCAAACATTTGTGTAGCTTTTAAAATAATGAAAATAACTATAATAAAAGAAAAAAGCGCAATATCAAAGCAACGAAAAATTTCGGAGGCAAAAGAAAATTTCCTTATTTACAATTTTCAATTCACCCACCACCCCATTTATTAATTTATTAAACCAAAGCTAAATTTCTCAGACTACACGTAATAATAATAATAAAAGTCATATTTAGCATCCTTGGGTAGTTACTTTCAAGTTGTTAGCAGATAAACAATATAATTTATTTCAAGAATTGGTAGGCCTGAGTTTGGAAACAAATGGATCTTTTTTTTTAATATGGCATCTTTAGCTAGTGCTCTCTGGTGTAAGAAGGTTTTACTACTGTAAATTTTTCGCCACTAGTAATTTCTTTGTTTACCCATATGTTTAGAAATTGTCTAAGGTTACATAATTGGGGGGGGGATGATAGAATTTGTAAGGTATTTAATTTCTTTATAATGTTAATTCAGAACATGTTTAACACTGGAAGAAAGTACTCGAACATATGGCAGAACATGCGAAAGTTAAAACTTGGAGTGAGTAGTCGATAGTAAAACAATCGAAAACTATGAAAAACTACAGTTAAAGTCACTTGAGTTCTGTCCTGAAAGTTTTAAGTAACGTATGTGTTTAAACTATTATAGTACATGTGATGTAGATTATTGAGAAATTGATTTATTTTAATATAAATCCCTTGTTATAATACACAATTATTTAGTAGCCAAAACTGAAATACTTCAAGAATTTCAATCAATCAGATCATGGTGATTTTTTGCCATATTTTTAATTAGTTGTAAGTTTTGTTACAGATTACATAGTCCCCTGGTAGGACAGCGTTAAGTCTATGGACTTATAACGTTAAAATCCGGGGTTCGGTGGACACAGCAGATAGCCCAATGTGGCTTTGATCTATAACAAACAAATAAGTACAGACTTAATAGAAAATGCGAACACACGAAGCTGCTGATAAATGATTATGTTGTAAAAGAATACAACCTGTATGTTTGAAGAAGAAATAATTACCAGGAGAAGAAGACCAATCGTATGCAAATTTGCAAAGAAAAATATGTTTTTCAAATGATTTATTCAGTTAAATTAATATTTATATCAAAAAGGAATGACTGCGTTACAAAAAACAAAACCACATCTATGAACACATAATATAACGTGCAGTATAAACTGTGTCCATTACAGCCTGTTTTGTTCTGCAGTGTTTTTTGTTTAAGGCTTGTTTTGAATCTATATATAAATATATAGTACTGTCTGTTATATGTCCATGTAACTACTTTGCAGGGTGTGGATGGATCTTCACCAAGTTGGTATAGAGGTTCGTTAGGTCCATGGGGAGGTACATACAAATTTTCAGTTTTGCGGCTTTTATGGGCGTTTTTCCGGGTTCACCACTACCTCATCTCCTGTAGATGGACCTTCAACAAATTTTGTATGAAGGTTCACTGGGTCCTTCGGGAGATACATACAAAATTTCAGTTTTGCGGTTTTTATGGGCGTTTTGCATTTCTTTACCACTACTTCGCCCCCTATTGATGGATCTTCACCAAATTTGACATGAAGGTTTGTTGGGTTCATGCAGAGATACATACAGCTTTACGGTTTCACATTTTCATGTTTTACAATTACATATAAGTTACTTTTCATGTCCTAAAATAACCTTTTATTAATCATGAATTTACATAACTTCAATCCAGGGGACGGGTACTCCAGCTAGTTGTAAATATATATATATATATACATACATACATGTATACAAAACACGCTAATCGTGATAGATGATTTTAAGCTTTATTTGTTCTTTTTTTAAATAGCTATTTTACAGCTTCCCATGTCCGCACTTCAATTTGTTTTTAAGCCAATGTTTTTTTAAAGAAAATTTAAAATATATATATACATATGTCGAGATATTAACTTGATCCTAATATATAAAGCGAAGTAGATAGAAGTGGTAACAAAAAGTTACTATCCTCTGTAACAATTTAAAATACTAAATCTAGGATAGAATACCGAAAAGTTCCATAAAAGTAAAATAACCAGTAAGCTAATGAAAACCTAAAGCTGTTCACGTAGACATTATTTATCTAATCTCTGCGGACTTACAACGCTAGAATCTGGGTTTCGATACCAGTGGTGGGCAAAGCCCAGATAGCCCATTGTGTAGCTTTGTGCTTAATTACAAACAAATTTACTCACTTTCCTGCTTCACTTATTTATAATCCAGTTTTTCGTTTGGAGTGCCGGGTATTTAAGAGAGCACATGAAAATAGTTCTCTTGATTCCAAGTTCATTTCATTTTCACGAACGTATCAGAAAGCATGCGTTGAATTTTAAAAGAAAGTCTGTAAATTTATTTTCCTGTTTACCATTCGTGATACGCGGTGGCTTAAAAGAACGACTTAAACACGAAAACAAAAAAAAATGATGTGGCACAGCGGTATGTCTACGGACTTACAACGCTAGAAACCGGGTTCGATACCCGTGGTGGGCAGAGCATAGATAGCCCATTGTGTAGCTTTGTGCTTAATTACAAGCAAGCAAGCTATACTAACAATGAGGCGTCTCCAACATTCGAGGAGTTCCCTGATAATTCTAGAAACTGAGTCACGCATGCGCCAGCAGCGTCACGTGACTGGCGCTGTCGGAACAATATGACTGAGAAAGATGAAAAAGAGACTGTACAAGAAAATATGTGCTCAAGAAAATGAACGTGGTAGCAAAAGACCAAAGTAAACCTAGACTTACACCATATGATCTATTTTTAAGAATTTCTAAAAAGCCAGAATTTGCCCAGATATTGCCACATCGGATAAATAATCTTTCATCAGTTATAAGGCTAAATTCGGAAACAAGAAGGACTTTGCGTTTCATGCAGTTTTGTAAGCTATGGATAGGTGTGTGCACACTTTTGTTTTTACTGTGTTTTATTTGCGGATTACACACAGTTGAAGGGTTTACCAAATTCTGGTTTCTCTGGAGTACTAACACTGACAATGAAGATCTTGCAAATAAACTCTGTACTTTAGAAATTCCTTCTACCCTTCGCAATGTCTTTATGCCACCAGTTGATTGTAACATGTGCCATAATTTGAAAAAAATTGAGAGAAAAAAGAACCTTTCACCAGAACAGTTTGAGAAAAAGTAAGTTGCTTGATTTCAGAAGCTGAAAAGTATGTTTTGATATATTACTAACAGTATCGGAAAACGTAAGTGATGTATACTTTAATATTTTGTTTTTTGCTCCTGTAAAATAATGAAGTATAACTAAACTATTAGTATTAAGTACAACTACAAGGGCCATTGATTAGGCAATAGGTCAGTGAAAAATAGAAAGATAAATAATATTAAAGTATACTATTTGGCAACATTTTCAGCATTTGTTCTTTCTTAAACTTTAAAAGGTATTATAGGTCTACTTTGTAAAAGTATAGGATTTTTTATAAAGTTTTCACTGAGTTAAACTTTTCTAATCTCATCTGTTTCCTGAATGTTTTGTTTTAATTATGTACTTCTATTTTCTTAAGTGTATATTATTACAATAGTCATATTTCAGGTTAATTTTTTTATTATGCTGTTTGGTTCTTTCTGAGAGTGTTATGTGTTCAGGTCCCGAGGTTCTTGTTTATCATCATGGACACTGATCATAATACAAAGTTATATTGGCATTATAAAAATAAGTTATGTACATTCTTTACCTCATTTAGCAGTATATGCTTTGAAAATACCATTGTCTATTATCTCTTTAATACTTTGAATATGTGACTTTCATTACTGAAAGTCACTAAAAAGCAAGGAAGTCAAAATATAAACTTACACTAAGTTGAAAACAAAACAAAAAACAGTATTACTAAATTATTTTATAGTAAATATTCTACTTTTGTAAATTGATTCTTTCTTAACTCCTAAATGCTGAAGTTTGATGGAAAAAAGTATTATCTAAATAACATGCATAAGTTAATGAAGTAAACAGATGTTAATATTCCTTTTACCAAAATGGTCAATTTTAGTGATTAAAAAAGCTATAATGGTGTAAAAAAATATGTCCACATAATAATATAAAAAAAATTCACTATCAACATTAATGTTACCTATTTTGAAAATACACAGTGGTATGTAAAGAATGTTACAAAAACCATTCAGAACATGAATAACACTGCTATGTTTGAAAAACAAATTAAGTTATTATATTGGATAAAAGATGCTATGAACATCATAATAATAACATCAACAGTAATAATAATTTCTACACAAATTTTGAGTAATTATGTTAAATAAAAAATGTTACAAGTAATATAATAACAATGTTACCTAGACAAATTTAGGGTAATATTTGTGGATAAATGATAAGAAAAACACCAATGATGTTACTGTTGATTAGGTCTGGGTGATTAATATAATTTTAATAACTGAGTAATTGTTGGGCTCGTTAGTCAGGTACATTCGACTAATCAATTATTCTCACAAGACTTGAATCGTTGGAATAGTCAGAAATAGTAATAATCGGAAAACTCGTTTTGATTAGTTGATTTCTTTCTTGAATGGTGGCACTAATCGATTAAGCCAAACAATCTTGTATTAATCAAATATAATAAAAAGAAATCATTATGGCAGTATTCTAATTACTTGGGTAATTGGAATAATTAAAAATAATAATAATTAGAAACACCAATTTTAGTTAGTTGATTATTTAATAATTGAAAATAGTAATAATTAGAAACACCAATTTTAGTTAGTTGATTATTTAATAATTGAAAATAGTAATAATTAGAAACACCAATTTTAGTTAGTTGATTATTTAATAATTGAAAATAGTAATAATTAGAAACACCAATTTTAGTTAGTTGATTATTTAATAATTGAAAATAGTAATAATTAGAAACACCAATTTTAGTTAGTTGATTATTTTAATGAAATTAGTTGATTTAATCATAGTGTTGATAATGGATTAGTTTACAATACTAATTTATGTGATCAATGCTGATAAGTAAACAAGTTAATCACCAGCTCTAAGGAGTTGGTTTCCTCATTCAAACTAAATCTCTCATTATTTTGAAGTATAATTTGTCTGTTGGTGTTCCACACACATATAGTTGGACAGAGTACTTTGGCGTACTTGTGTGTTCTTTAACCTTTAATTTGTGTATCAAAGGTTCTAATTGTTGAACCTATACAACCTCATTCACATCAAGGACAATTATACAGGTAAATAATGTGTGATCATTTTAGATAACGAATTCTGTCTTTAACTTTAAAAAAATCTGGATTCTTAGCTTTGTTTCGAAATTGATTATTATGAATATATTCTTATAACTTATTCATTTCTTGAAGCTACTAGTGTTTGTAGATACAGTAGAATGAGGGTCAGCAGAAAACTTGGACCATTATCAATGACAGCATTGGTGGTGGTGTGTTTCTTCACTGTATATCCTGGTTTTACTGTTTACAACTTTCAACAAAAAGCCATTCTTCAGTAGCACCATTTTAATTTTCATTAGTTCATTTTGATAATGAATAACATTACTGCACTACTGAAAAGTATGTTGATTAGATAGTGCATTAAGTTCTTTTTAAAGATGATAAAAAATGTCTGTCATATTGCATCAGAGATAATAAAAATATGTGATTATCATATTGCAACTGAGAGAATATAGAATGTCTGAGTTTTAAGTTCCAGCAGAGTTATTTAAAATGTCTGATTGTCATATTGCATCAAAGATAATAAGAGAAATTTAATAGTTTATCATTAAATTACTGTGTTATTATCATACTTTAGCTTAACAGTATTTTAGTTTATTTGAATGGAAAAGTAAAATGTATCGTAACGTGTGTATTAGGAGTATGACAATTTCATTTGTTGTAGCTAAATGTTTATATATATATTTATGTATCAGCAGTAAACGTTTTTTTTAACATATGCAGTATTTAAAAGTCAATATTTGAAACTTTTCAGTGAGAATGATAGATATGTTTAATGTGTAATGAATATTACTTCCTTTGTTTATAATTCATGATTATGGATATCTAAAAGATGTTACACTCTAGTTATCACTAGATATGTGTACAGTATATACAGTTATGATTCTTTATTAGAACTAACCACTGAAATCTGATACGTAGTTTTGAAATGAATATTATCCTTCTGATTTTTTTAATTCAGAAAATTAAGTGGAAAAATGATGATTTACACATGAAAGTATATGAAAGAGGTATGTTATGTATATTGTAGGTATGCATACAGTGGTATCCCTGTTGTTGTATCAGATGCCATGGTGAACTGGACAGCAAGAGAAGTATTTAGTTTCTCATTTCTACAAAAAATTTATGGTTTAAATAGTTCTACTCATGTGGATGACGATGTGGATTGCCAGTTCTTCTCGTATGGGACAGAGTTTGAAACTTTGGAAGAAGTTTTCAATATGAGCTCAGAAAGAGTTCTAATGACTGAAGGATATAAACCTTGGTATATTGGTTGGTAAGTGAATTGCTTTGTTAGATAAGTATATTTCCATAGTTACTTTTGTAAGAATAGTGCATTATTTATTCGATAAATATTTACATAAGTGTATTAGTGTTATAGACAAATATTTCCATTAATGAATCACCTTTATAAGAACAGTGCATGATGGCATTGAATAAATATTTCCATTAATGAATCACCTTTATAAGAACAGTGCATGATGGCATTGAATAAATATTTCCATTAATGAATCACCTTTATAAGAACAGTGCATGATGGCATTGAATAAATATTTCCATTAATGAATCACCTTTATAAAAATAGTGCATCACTTTATTAACAATTCATTTAAAAGTATTTGAAAATGATTGACATTATAGTACAAATAACAGCAACTTTTATGTAGAAAAAAAATGTCTTAAATTTTGAATCAAATGTTACATACTAAACTGCATATAAATTTGGATTTAAAAATAAGTTTATTGATCAATGATCAATCCATAAAAATAGTAAATATATGGATTATGTTAAATATGATGAATTATGTATATAATTAGTGTAAAAAAAATTTTAAATATATATTGTGAAACCACATAAAGGAAATGATGTAGTTATTTTGGATAGAGAAAATTGTGTAAATATGTACTTGCAATAATATTGGATGAAACTAAGTTTAGGAAATTGGATTTTTATCTCACATAAAAGAAAAAAGAGAAGGTCTATTGGAGAAATATTTATTAAAGTTAAAGTATATAAAGATATTAGACTGGAGATTCTCCCTACGGGACTTTAGGGTTTAAAAAACATTAATAAAAACAGTTGTCTCATTAGGTCAATAATTTTGAATATAGGTACCAATAACCAGGTACTTGCAGGTTTTTAAATTATTTTCTTAAAGCATTTGAAAAGAATTACTGTATTTGTTGGGAATTGTTTTGAGATTTCTAAACAAATGTTAGACTGAATATTTGATGACAAGTTTTGATACTAAGTCATTATTCACTAATATTTCTTTGTTAGTGGTAATTTAAATAGCAGGGGATTTGGTTTTTAAAAATGGTACAATTGTACAAAGTTTAACCAAATGAGTTTTTTTTAGTTATTAAATTTTGCTACTCAGAAATCTTATTTTAAGTTTGATAGTAGTGTTTATGATCAAACAGGTGGTGTTGCTGTGGGCTCCAAATTAGCACCTAGTCTTTCAAACCTTTGATATCATGAAAACAATGGTTAGATTACTGTACAGAAACTTTTAAACCTGTTAGGTACCATAGGTATGTAGATGATGTTAATTTTGTGGAAAAGAACATGTGAATTTATCATTAGAGGATCTAAACAAACAATATCCTTGTATAAAATTTACAACTGAAGAAGAAAATTATTCAAACTTGCCTTTTTTAAAATCTAAATATTAATGTTGATGAATCATTTAGAAGTGTATCATGAACCAATACATACAGGATTGTGATGTTGTGTTAACAGCTTTATAGCTGTTAACTATAAGGATAATTTTAATGTAGAGCATATCATAATGCCAATGACTGTTATTATATTCATAGAAAAATAGAAAGTGTTAAACTTTTCATCTCAAATTACTTGAAAACATTTTAGAAATAGTGTGAATACTCCTCCTGAAGGGAGTTATGATATGCCTAAACTGTTTATGGGTAAAGACAGTTGTGCATTGAGAAATAAAATAAAAAATATCTTAAAATAAAATTATCCTCAGATTTCTGTTTGTATAGCTTTAAAATCAGTATTGAGGTTTGATAACTTTTTCAGGATAAACGACAGAAGTAATAAATGCCGATGATCCTATGTTGTTTATTGATATGTTTGTTCTGGATGTGGATGAGATTTTGTTGGATCAACCACGTATCGTTTAGAGGACTCTACAAAAGAGTATCTGAAGTTTGGTGTTAGTAATTCTTACAATGTCTACAAACATCTAGATCAGGAATGTGGTGGAACTGCTGATGAAAATAACTCTAAAATGATATTTAGTTCCTACAGTGAGAGCAAGATGTAAGAATCAAAGAAACTTTAGCCATTAAGAAACTAAAACTAGTATTGAATTCTAATTCAACAAGAATAGAAATCCTTCTAAAAGCTAAGCTGGTTGTAAATTATATTGAAATTGTAAAAACTTCATTCTTGAACTATAGAGAAGCTTCGCTAACAAACCTGTGTTCGGTTTTTGGTATAACTTGCATAAACATCACATGCTTGCACTCTTAACAACAGATCAGAGCTTCAGTTAAAGAAGGAATTAAATATTCTCTTAATAAGAATCTCCATTTCCTTCATTAGTTGAGAGATCACTGCAGTAAATATTTGTTCATACTTAGAAGAAGGGTATAGTAAATATGTGTATTTTTTGCTATTAGGAGCAACTGTAATCCACTTGTTGCCAACATTTTAAGAAAGCACTACGAACAACCATATTTTCTCCCCCATACATCTGAGAGTAGTAAGTTAGACTGGATATTTATAGGAGTTCCTGGATATGGAGCTGACATGCATGTAAGTAAAGGTGTTGATTTTAAAGTTTTTGTATTAAGTTTGAGTGGCTAAGACTGAATACATCTGTACAAAATATAAATTTTTTATTCATTGAACATTTTACTGCATTCCTTATTTTTTCTTGTGATGAAATATAATTTATTATTCAATCAACTACTTTACAAAGAAATGAAAAAAACCTAAAGTAATGTGTCAGTGTAACTGGTTATGTACATAAATGTTTTTATCAATCTTAACATAAGTCTTTCATTACAGTAATAGTAGGACTGAACTATGTAAAATTAAATTATCATTAACTTTAATTTAGAGTTAGCTACATAAATTGATGGGAACTAAAAATAACCCAGCATTTTATATAGCTAATTGAACCTACTAGCTTAACTTGAAATATACAAGGTCACAAAACAAAAACATATGATTATAATAGAATGATTTATCATTTAGGTACACTAGCTGTTAGCATTAGTTTCAGTTATATTTCCAGTAGTATATGGGAAGGTTTGGCCAGCTTAGAAAATTTAAGTGAGTCCTGTATACATATACTAAGCCCAAAATGCTAAATAATTGTCATGATATAAAAATGAAAAAATATATGTATTAATTATATTACACAATTCAAAGAATACTATTAATGAAACTAACTATTATAGAAAGAATAGAATATGATTTGCAAGACACACAGTAAAACTAATTTGTTTCATGCACTATTACCAATTCCCTATCCTTGTGACACTAATTCACTCGGAACTTGAAATAATCTTCTCTAACAACATAGAGTGGCCAGTAAAAGTTGATTAAATGGCTCTAAGAGTAGATCAACATCTGAGGTACATGGTTGCAACATGTTATTATTTAAATATAGTCATTAGTAGGATGATACAGCAAAAACTAATGTTTATATATAAAAGTACCAAATTAAAAGAATGACAAAACTGTGCAATAAGTGTAAAAATATATGTATTACAATTAAGATAACCAATTTACATATATTAAAAAGGAAAATAAAATACTAAATAAAACAAACTATCTGACCGATTTTCAAATGAAATTACACAAACAAAATAGTGATGATTATAGATGTAATTTAATTATCAATATATTCTCCATTGCTTTCAATAACCTTGTTCCATCTGTCAACAAGTTTTTGGATGCCACTTTTATAAAATTTCTTAGGTTTTGACCCAACATAAGAGATTAACTCATTTTTGACCTCCTCTCTTGAAGTTAGTCTAAGTCCATCCAAATGACTTTGTAAACTCCTAAACAAATGATAGTCAGAAGGAATAAGGTTGGGAGAATATGGTGGGTGAAGCAATTTTTTCCCAGCCAAGTTCCTCTAGGAGATCCTTGGTTACTCGTGCTGTATGGGAACGTGCATTATCGTGATGAAGAATGATCCCTTTTCTGTTTGCTAAGGATGGGCGTTTTTTGTCCAAAGCTGTTGTCAAACACCGCAGTTGTTGGCAGTAAACCTCTGCTGTGATTGTCTGCTTATTGTTTAACAATTCATAATGGACAATTCCTTGCATATCCCACCATACACTCTACATGATCTTTCTTGGATGCAAGTCCCCTCTCGGCTGCTGGGCAGGTCTATCACCACGACTAAGACACTGACAACGGCGCTTAACATTATGATAAAGGATCCATTTCTCATCCCCAGTAACAACTCTGTCCAAAAAAGGGCACTTGGTGCTGACGTGAATACAATGTCTCACAGTAATTTACACATTGTTGGTGATTATCTACAGACAGGTCCTTTTCAATTTGTGATGGATGATCATATGGCTAACATTCAATTGTCTGCTAAGATCCTTAACTGTAATGGCAGGATTTGCTGCAACAGCTGCTTCCAGTGCCTCTGAATCGGGTCCATTTGGATGACCCTCTCTTGGCTAATCTTTTAAACTGAAGTCCCCATTTCTGAAATGGGAAAATCCACCTCCTACAAGTTCTTTCACTTACTGCATTGACACCATAAGTGTTCTGGATAGATATTGCTGCTGCACTTGCATTGACCTCTCTATGAAACTCGTAGAGCATGGCATGACGATTGTGTGCTTTAGTCAGTTTGAAAGCATTTTCTTGAATAATGTTCCTATATCCTGAAAGTAAAAGAGGTGTATTACTTATGTGGGCATGACTAAACATCAGATAGAGATAGAACTTAATTAAATCTTGTTCAACATTTTCGGCTCAAAAATCGGACAGAACTTTCGTTACAACCTGATAGGAACTGTGTCCAAAACAACTAATCCAACTTTAACTATCCCCTAAAACTAATCCATCTTAACTATTCCCAATAACTAATCCAACTTTATCCCTACAACTAATAAATTTTTATCTATATTATCAACTTTAAGTGTACTCAACAACTAATATACCTTTAAATTTAGTCAATAACTAATCCAACTTGAACTATTCCAAACAACTATCCCCTAAAACTAATCCATCTTAACTATTCCCAATAACTAATCCAACTTTATCCCTACAACTAATAAATTGTTATCTATATTATCAACTTTAAGTGTACTCAACAACTAATATACCTTTAAATATAGTCAAGAACTAATCCAACTTGAACTATTCCAAACAACTAATCCAACATTAAACATCCCAACAACTAATCTGTTTTGAACTATCCCAATAAATAGTCCATCTTGAACAATCTCCAACAACTACTCCAACTTGAACTATCCCCAACAAATAATCCAACTTTACCTATCTCCAACAACTAATACATCTTGAACAACCTCCAACAACTAATCCAACTTTACCTATCACAAACAACTAATACAGCTTTACCTATCTCCAACAGCAAACCCAACTTTACCTATCACAAACAACTAATTCAACTTTAACTATACCCAACAAGTAATCCAACTTTACCTATCTCCAACAGCAAATCCATCTTGAACAATCTCCAACAACTAATCCAACTTTACTATCTCAAACAACTAATCCAACTTTACCTATCACAAACAACTAATCCAACTTTACCTATCACAAACAACTAATCCAACTTTTAACTATTCTCAACAACTAATCTAACATTAACTATCCCCATCACCTAATCCAACTATAACAATACCTAACAACAAATCCAACTTTAACAACACCCAACAAGTAATCCAAGTTTATCTACCCTCTATGGTCATTTTACAGAACAGGCAGCCAGATGAAATAAGTACATTTAAACCCTAAGAACTAATAAAAATGTGTAAGTAGTAATAAGAAATGAAAAAGATCACAATAATAGGATTAAAACAATGAAGTAAGAGCAGTAGTAAATATAACAAAGTTAACAGAAACTATTGTAATGCTACATTTCAAACCCAAAACTATGAAATGTAAATTGAGATGAGTGATTGAAAACTGAGAATATTACACTGTATAAAATGGATGTTTGTGATCCACTAGAAAGACAATAATGATGTATACTGAAGAAAATAAATTAAAAGATCTCACTCGTAGAACACAAAAGTTGGAATTTGTGGCATTTAATGTCACCTATAATGAATACAATAAGTTAGACTGTGTGATGTATATTGTAACATAAAATGAAGGCAAAATATTAGTTAATGCAACATACTAGGTTCTGTATAATGTCACCTGTAGTGAATAGAGAAAGGTAGGTTTTGTATAATGTCACCTGTAGTGAACAGAGAAAGGAATAGAAAAATTCTGAAAGTTAGTATTTCTTTTGGGCTTTTTCTATGCATATAATAATGTGGAATAATATGTGTACAGCCTGGAACAAAGGACAACTGTTCTACATTTAGAGAACTAGCCACTCCCTTGAGGTCAGAATGTCAACTAAAATAGAAAAGGTTCAAAGTTTGTGGATGAGACTACACACTTTCCCAGGAAAAGCTTGAAAAGTAACATGTACTAGAGATACACAGTTTTGGCTATGAATACTAGTACCCAACATATTATGGTTAGTTAAATAGGACATGGATTAAGCAATACTGAAAATAAAGTACTTATGATTATCTGTTGATGAGTGTTCATTTATTATCAACTGTAATTATTAGTGTAGAATTTGAGTAGCTCTTCTGGTGAAAGTTATTACATAAAAGGCTGGTTAGATCAAAT